AGTCCGTTTAGCCCACTCTTTACGGCCACCAACACTGCACAGCAAGCAGCACAGAGAAAGTTTTATTACAGTCATGTTTGCAGAAGATGTCGTCTCGAATTGGATAAAGGGACCGTACAGACAGCAGATGTTTGGGACAGTCAATAAGCCCTATAAATGTGAACCCATTTAAAGAGAAGGACAGAAACCAATCACAAAAGAAACACGCAGGAAGTGTTGAGAAATAAACAGCCCTGTTTATCTATTGTCTGCCAGCCTAAAGCATAAAACTAAATCATAATAAGGCATGTTGGTTGATTACTCCTAATTTTCATCTGCTACCAGAAAAGTTACTAAAAACCAGCCTCACTCTAACTCAGCATCTGACCGATTAGAAAGAAATATTTCTACCTAAATTGTGTAACTGAACATTTTTTTTATTCTCATTATTTTTATTTTAAACAGTCAAATTTTTTATCATTTTTGTCCATTTGACTGAAAAAGAATTTGGTCATAAGAAACCTTTAAAATATTTTTTTAATCATCTTTTGATTTAGTTTTAATTCTCTTTTCAAATTACCTATATTTAGCTATATAGTTGGTTATACTTTTAAAATATACCAACTTAGGCAACCCTATTAAATAACAAAAAATATTGCAGTTTTTCTTGAATTCTATACTTCCTGTTCTAAAGTGCGTCTAAAGCCAAAATGTACCTGTTTTGCACAGACACACATGAATGTATGTCCTAAGGTGTGACCCTTAATGAATGGCTGTGCATGTGTAGGGGTGTGTGTATGTGGACAGCAGGGCCCTCAGACATTCTGGGCCCTCCACGCTCCACTGTCACCTATGGAGGTATCATCCCTTACAGTCAGACAGGGATCATGATTGCACCTGCTAATTATCATCTTCAGCTGGAGAGTTAAATGGAGATCTGTTCTATGTCTGACCTTTGACCTCGTGCTCTTTATATGACGCACTTCAAACCCTGTTTGGGGCTGTCTGGGCCGGGCCTTAATGAGGCCCCATGTCTGCCCTCTGTGGGCTGTGCGCCTCGGATGCCCCGCTTTCATCCCCGACTATCTTCCCTTGATGTAAATTGAAAAGATCACAGCTATGGGGAGAAGACCTGTACTGGAAAGGCCTCTCTGCATAGATTATGAATATCATAACTCAACAGTTTTTTTTCCTGTTCCCCTTTCCCTCAGCCACCCACTCCCCTCTCTTCTCCTGCCACCCTTCCCTCTACAATGCTATAGTTCTAATTGGACCCAATGGGGGAGTCTCTGCCTTTGATCTCATCACCGCCACTGTGACTTTACACTAAAAAATGTCACTGCCAAATAGGGTTATCACCTGTAGAGCCTGGCCTTCCTCTGATGCCTGTACGCGTCTCGTTAGCTTCACTCAAACTGTAGAAGTTAATTAGTTTGACAGAGCCATTACCGTGGAGGCATACCTGATGATTGTGGCGTAGGCTCCACATTCAAGAGCCAATTACTAAATACACGTTTATTTTATTTTATTTTTTTGTACATGTGTCTGGATTGTGAGCGAGCACAACGAGTTGTGAGGTTTGATTTCTATTAGTAAAAATGAGCGCTGTACTTTTGCAGCACACCTAGACGTTTTTGATTCGAGATTTGTACCAATTTAAGCGAACATCAGGATTTTTTTCCTCCAACGTTTTATTCTTCTCAGGAAGAACAATTTATTTATTTTTTTAAATATTAGGAGGTAAAAATAAGTGGAGTCTCCCACTGTTTGAAAGCTGCAGTATACTGGATGACTCTGTTGAGTAAACTTGGCTATCCCGTCTGCTCTGACAGTCTTCTGGGTCCTCCTCCCCCTCATAGACTGACAACGTCCTCGCTTTGATTCCTCCACACAAAAAAAGACAGTTTAATGATTTGCAAAGACAAAAAAAATCAGTGATGAGCACATAAACATGAAATATTAATCCCACAAAGGGCTTTACATAAACATAAAAGCATTTAGTAGAATGAGTGAATATGGAGATGACACTTGTTAATTTAACCATGGTAAACTTTCTGTTTGATGCCTGGAAGCATTTTGCGATGGCAGCGCGGGGACGTCGTGGCGAGTGGGGAAAGCCCAGGGGACAGAATTCAGCACTGTTCGTTTTGTCTTTGTCCCAGTTTAAGACCGAAATCTCCGTCTTGCTTCCCTTCTTTTGTCTCTCAGCTCCTCGGTTCTTTTCGGCCTCTCTTCTGTGTGAGACGAGCTCAGCCTTCCCCCGTTCCAGTGATATTGATCTTACCCATCATTAAAATTAGAAGCTATAACGTGAAATTGTCACTGTGCGATACGTAAAAGCCCTACATTTATAAATGAAAAAGAAAGCCTAAAGTTATTTAACTGTTTCCAGTTTGTTTATGGCAGAGTAGCAACAATTATTAGAGCTGGGTCTGAAAACATAATGCATTGATTGTTTTATAACTGTAATAAATCGGCTGTAACAGCGGTGGCAGCATTTTCTCCCAAAGAGAGCTATGAGCTGAACCCACTTTCTGTAAGTATATATTTCATATAAGAACATATGTATTTATGTAATTTTCTGTCACAATGAAGCCATGAAATATTACCCATTATTCTTATTGTTTTATTTATATTTCACCTGAAATAAATTATTTTTTATAAAAGAAAACACTGACAAAGTGTAACCTCTTACTTTTTTCTTGATAGTTAGCTTTCATTTCTGCTCACTATTTTAGTCTTTTTTTACACTTAGATTTCTTGGGGTAATCAACATTTTTCCCTGTATAGGTCAATCAAAATGAGGAAGCAACCTGCAGATTAAATGCTCCTTTTCAAAATAAAGGCAGGATCTTTGAATACCGGTGAAATTTTAAATATATGCAGCACTGATTTCTAATATTAAATCTTATTGGCCAATGACATCTTACTGCTTTGTGTAGATGGACATTATGGTGGGCTGTGAGTTGCGCATGTCTGAGCTGCATTATTTCATTCACTGGCTTTTTTAATTAAAATTTAAGAGTAGATTTTGCACAAACTATTTTACATCTTAGGTGTTCTTCTCTTTATGGAAAACATTTTAGCTGATAAATGATTTGTACCATTTTTAAACCAATGCGTGAAAATTTGTTTTTTTTTTATTTTTTTATTCCTGCTAAATCCACACAAGAATCATTCAGAGCAACTAAATATTTCCTTGTTGTAAGGAAGAAAAAATAATCCTGTATTCAGGGAGCTGACTAGCAACAGGTGGGGGAGGAGTATCATTTAATAAAGCCAGGGTACACTCCTGCACTTTTCCTGGCATCTATTTAAAAGCACTTTGGAATGAAGAAAATGTATAACACAATATTGTTTTCAAAGTAAAAATGCAGGAATCGGGATTTGTTCTTGGCAGATACCAGCTTATCTGATTTATTTCAAATCATAAGGACGTAGATGTGCACATTATTTATTGACAGGTACACTGATTGAAACTTGTGAAAGCTCTTATTGTTGTAATTTAAAGAATGAAAGATAACAAATGTTTCTACGTTATACCTGCTGATTCCAGATCTGAGTTCATCAAGAGAAAACTGGAAGTTTTTTCTAATTTAAGTTTTCTTGAAGGTGGAACTTTTTAGAACTTTAGTAGCCTTGCATTCTGGCAAAAATGGTCAGATTAAAATAAAACCTGCAGGAAGCCTGGGGTTTTATTTAATCACTGACATGAACTGAATATTTATTCCCCTCATTGCCAAACTACAAAATGAAGAAATATAGTAATTTATCGTAAAAATGCCTTTTTAAAAGATATTTAAAAATCTGCTAAGGACACACAGCAGCCATGCACCGGAGCGCGGGCATCACAACGTCTGGCTATGTTTTTAAAACAGTGAAGTAGGTGGACTGTGGATATTAATAATGTAGTGTTAAATGGAGGAACCCGACTTTAAATGTTAATTTAGTCTGATTCTGGTTGCTCCTCACACCCTGGAGTTTTACACACTCTCTGTATGCACAGCCACATTTTCTATCTCACAGTTTAGAAAGAAAATTCAAGGTGGCAGGATTTAGACTTAACACCTTAAACATTGTTCATCCTTTATTTTTTTCTTACTACACATTTCTGACGGGTATTTATTTATGCAGGATATAAAATATTGCAGAAGTACAGTAGATGATTTAAACAGTGAAGCTTTATGCCTGCATTGTATTCTTTGCGTCAGCCTGCAGGCGATTGCTTTAGAGTGTGGTAGACGAGAAACAAATGCTGTTGGGCGAAGCTAGCGCAGCCCACACAGTGAAAGGGACGGTCCCTCACTACATGACATCACTACTGTATCTCTGCCTCCTCCTCCCACTTCCACAACACAGTCAGACCACTGCTGAGCAGGTGAGGAGAGCCTCTTGACAACTTCCTTCCCAGACTCCCCAGGGCCCGGTGGCTAGGGTGAATCTTTTGTCATCCTGAACAAGCTCAGGCCTGCTGCTCCTCCACTCTCGCCTGGAGTCCTGGAGACAGAGCCAGGAGAGGGGGAAATAATTAAAGACGTTTTATGTCAAGAATCCTTTTCTAGAGGGAGTCTGGGAGAGCCAAGAGAGGAGGGGAGAACAGCAGGTCTGGATAGAGGGAACAGGAGCGTTTAGACACGGAGGCAGAAATGAAAGGAGAAAGAAGGTGATGGCCGGGGAAGAAGGGCTGAACGAGGAAGAGCAGAGATATGGGTTTCTATTTCCTCTATTTCCCCCTCTCCCATTGCCCCCCCACCTATGCCGCTCAATTAGCAAAGCAGCAGGTGCTCCCAGCAGCACAACAGATAAGCCCGGAGGAAAGTCTGAAGGGTCCCTGCTTTATTTTTTTTTTCTATCCTTTTTTTGAGATGACCTGCAAATGTGATACTTCACACCATGAATAGGCTAGCTGTTTCCTCCACCAATTTCAGAGGTGATAATTTAACTTTTACCCTTCATGTCTCCCTCCCTCTCTCCTGGGTCCCTGTCTTTATCATTCCCAACTCCCCCCCATGTTCCACCAGGTGTCCACTCTGAAGAGCAAGCTGAAGAAGCAGTCCACAGCAACAGGATGTGGCGTGGCGAGGGCCTTCCTGAGAGCGCAGGCCGCTCTGTTTGGATCCTACAGAGATGCTCTCAGATATAAACCTGTAAGGACCCTCCATCATCTCTTACCCATCTTTCTCTACTTATTGTTTCACATTCTATCATGCTTTTTTATATTTGTAGTTTAAGGGTACTTTCTACCATGATATGCTTTGAATAAACCCAAGCTTCACTACAATTTTTATCTCTAAATTTAATTTAAATCAGGGAAAATCTTACTCTATACTGTCTCCTAATGATAACTACTCTTTTTTTACAGGTGGGTTTGATTAAAAACAAAGGATATATGATTGTGTTAACCTGATATGTCAGAGTGACACTGAAGTTCTTTTTTGAAATAACTTTGTTTTTATACAAGTTAATCTGTTTGCAGAAACTTCTTCATGTGGAGAAAACCATGAGGCGCTGTAGTGTGATAGATGTGGGATTTAACTGTTATAATCTGATGTGCAAACTTTATTTTAATATTTTTAATCTATGAAATATAAATCATAAATGGTACTGGGTTAGAATGGGTTTTCCCAATTTTCTGAAATGAAAACGGCTTCAAACCGACTGAAAACTACATATTTAGAGGCTGCAAAAAGATAAAGAAAACATAAAACCACCATTTAATATGGATTCATATTCAGAGCAGAGCCTTTCATAGGTGTGACTGTAATTCTTTCTCTCGGTGATGTGAGCTTCATGGTTACCGTCTCGGCTGAAGTGAAGTGACGGTTTTGACTGAGGGTAACAGGTGTGTTTTCAGACGGAGAGCAGAGCTAAGGTGGGCTTGTCTGAAGCAGTGAAATGTCAGAGGAGCTGGAAGGAGTCAGGACGTTCCCTTTGAAGATCCCTTTTAGCCACCTTTGGTGTTTAACTCTCCTTTACTAAGCCCCCCTAACATTTCTTTTCTAGATCTTCTCTGCTTATCAAGTCTGAGTCAGAGCAGAGCAAACTACACCATGTCCTGTTTGTCAAATAGTGAAGCCTTTGTTGCTTAGTCTTTGAGATTAATTGGACTTTGTGGACTCCCGGAGTCAAGATGCTACATTATTGATGCTGTCTCTCTTTTTCTCTGTATACAGACGGTACACGAACAAACTGCCTCCCCTCTGACACGAGCGCTGAGAAGCAGCCTGTTTGTGTGCGTGAGCGGTGATTTCTCAGTTCACTCACGCTCTCGGTGTTTGTTTGCGGACAAGGTCTGCATAAAAGCCTCAGATTTAACATACATGTTAAAACCTAAACACATCTTCAGATTAAATGAAGTTACTCCTAATTTCCTGCCGTATTTGTTGAATCTCACCGTTCTGCTTATTGTTCTGAGCTGAAGAAAAGATCTTCCTGGAAAGAGCTGAGTTGTGCTGAGCGGTTCACAGACCCATATGCCTCAACAGAAGGAGGGGTGTGGATGCTTACTGGGAGTCTTGCTGAGCTGTAAATGAAACAAAACTGGAGCCTAATAATGAGCCGAAAGGCAATCAGCTGATTATACACATATTTCTTACGCCATCACTTTGGGTTTGACGTTATTCTGCCAGGTGTCTCTACAGCTTGGAAAATAAATACTGTTATGTGGAAAAAGAACATTTTTAAGGTGTGTTTAAAAAAAATCCTCCAAAAAGGGATTTTTAAAATGTTATTTTAGACACATGTAGGCAATAAGCTAATTTATCTAAGGCTGATTTGTGGCCTATAAAGGATGAACACAAATCTGCCTTTTTTAATACCATATTCCAAAGTGGCTTAAAGAGATGAACCTCTGCGGCTCGTCACGTTTACCTCATGAGTACATTTGTGAATTATTAAGGTTCAGAGCAGAGTTGTTGAATTATAGAAATTTCTAAATAACACTTTTCTACATTTTAAGTGTGTAAGGAGGATCCATGTTTTAAAAGTTGTTTTTAGAAATGGAAATGTGTCAGCTAAGCGTAATAATTTATTTCCTACTCAACAATCAATGGAAAAATATTTTTTGATATTACAGCCTTATAATAACTTAATCCCAGCTTTGGGGATGGCTTCACTGGTACTTATTAAATTATTATTTTGCATCAAGACTCAGGTCTATTAGGTCAAAAGGCCTCCTTTCCATCAGCCTAATCTTTAGCTCTCTTATCAGGTTCTCTGTCATAGTAAAGCTGTCTTTCTTCCTGGGGAATATTAATATTAAGAAAGCTTTTAGTCAGAAAAAAAAAAACAATACATGGTAAATATTAGGGGTTATCTAAATGGGCAAGGATGTGAAAAATGTTATGCTTAAGGATAATTATACTCAAACCTAGTTTTATTTTATTTTTACAGCAGTAAAAACACAAATCTTGCCTCATTTTAAAAAAAGGAAGATGAAATAGACAAGCTGGAAAAAGTGACATAGAAGAGGTACGGTATATAAAAACTCACTTCTAATCTACTTACACTTTGGTTTATAATTTAAAAGAGGATGTTATAAAAGTTCTGATCTACTCTGTTTAATATTGAGACTGCTGTTTAAGACAAAATTTAACTAATAATAATAGATTATAATAATGATAATAAAGAAATTCACACCATTGAGAATGCTGTAAATATGGTTGAACTTCTAGCATTCACACAGTTAAGCCGGATTATCTTTTAAGGTAGAATATTTCAAAGCCTTGGTGTCCAATCAGACGACTTTGGACCTCTTTGAGGTCTCAGTCATTAATGGTTTGGCCTGAAAGCTTTAATTGAGGATGTCAGCCATCATGCAGAGGCATCTAGATCTAAAATACTCTGCATTGCACATCAAGTAATTGTAATGCTCACATATCAGTGGTTATACATATATTCCGACTTATTTCAGTTAAAAAAAGAATGATTTGATTTAATCAATAACAATGAATCTTAATTCATCAAACAAAAGGCAAAATCCATAATGCATATTTAGGTGGTGATGATGATAATCTCAGCCACTATTAGTTAATTTTACCCCGTTAGGGATGAAAACCCGGCTTTCTTCTTTAGAAAGTTTTTGTGATGTAACCGGAGCGGTGATCTTGTAAAGTAATTCGGGCCACTGGTATCGTTCTCCCATCCTTAGAAATGAGGTTACCCTCCACCGTGGTTCAGTTGTTTGTGTGAGCCACGTTGTGCTCAGAGCCTAGAACAGACAAAGCTCATTGTTTTACTTCACAGGAATTTAGAGCATTGTTGAAACGTGTGAGAGTTATGTTAATTATAAGAAAACAGGAATCTGAATTGACTGGAGGGCAGAGTGTGTTTGGCCCAGAGTGGTTCTGTTGTCATCCTCTGTGTCTATAGCTCACAGGCCAACAGACATGATGTAAGGAATGGTAATAATGTGATCATGTGTTTATGCGGAGGACTGGGAAGTTTAGTAGGACGCCATCATCTGGTCCAGTGAAGCTCATACGTATATGCGCTGCCAGGGGAAATGGTTGAAAGGAGCCTGTTATTTATTTATTTTCAAACTTTAACTCCTTTGTTAATCCTGTTTCCTTCCTCTTTCACGATTAGATTCATTTCTGACTTGTTTTTTCTCTCGCTAATGAAGAAATCTGTTGAAATACTCTGGTAGCTTTCTACATGTTATGCTTAGCTTGGGCGGCAGAATACAATGCTTGCAAAAGTATTCAAACTGCCTCCACTATTACCTTATTACCACACACTTTTGTGGGGTGTTTTTTTTTTTTTTGCATTTTGTTTGATAAACCACCAGAAATTGGAGTAAAAATAGAAAGTAAAATGAATCTTTACTATGATACCGACAGAGAAGACCCAGTTAAACCAAAATATATTAGAAATCTCCCATTTTGTAAAAATAATAACCCTTTTATGTTGCTTTAACCTCAGTATATATTCAGCAGTTTTGTGAAGGAGTTGGAAGCTAGTTCAAAATCATTAGTGAGAAAACATCATGATGAGGACAGCGCACAGGTCAGGGGTAGTTTTGGAGTGTTTTTAACATCTTACGGGGATTTATTTAATCCATTATTTAAAAGCGGGTAAAAGTATGGCAAACTGCAAATCCACTATCTACCCAAAGTAGGCTTAGAGGTCATTAAGGTTGTAGTAACTCTGGACGAGCTGCAGATTACCACAGCTTAGGGGCAAGAAACTACTGATAGGATAGGAATTGGTCTCACATTCAGTTCTGGCCGTTTTAAAAAAAATATTATTTTTTTAAGAAATTCATAGTGATGGAAATTCAGGGTCTGACAGTCAGTCTGACAGCAGGAACATGAACGCTGGTCAGAGTTGAGTGCCAAATAAATAGAGCTATATACAAGGAAATCCAGGAAGAAATGTCTTTGATGAAGGCTGCAAAAGAGCAAAGTCTCATAAAAAAAAAACAACAAAAAAAAAAACAGCCATAGCTACAATAGAATGGGTTAGAGCAAGGATATAAATGTGAAAAATGTCTCAAATATCAACAAAATGTTCACATTATGCCCTCCTTGTAATCTGACTTGAGCAAACTTGTTGCTGTATTTGTGCTAAAACACATTTTTGCTAAGTATTGACTTAGGAGAGCAGAATGAAAACAACGCTTTTTAGATTTTTATGAGTTAGAAAGAAACTTAGTGCACTGCTCTGACTTTATTTTAAAATATTCTTGTTTTAGAAGTCCAGCTCCATATGAAAAAAGTATCTTCATTTAATGTTTTTTTTTTTTTGTTTTTTTGCTGAAAAAGTTACAGGAATAAACAAAAGAGTAATATTTTCATTTAAGATGTTTTTTGTAAATCTGTGTCTGAATTCTGCAGGGAGAACCAATCACGTTCTGTGAGGAGAGTTTTGTCAACCATCGCTCGAGCACAATGAAGAACTTCCTGTCTATGGCCGTCAACCTGCAGCTCTTTAAACAGGTACCAACAGCTGGTCTCGACACTTTCTCTATTTACAGTAACTTGCACTCTTCTCTGCTTGTTGGAAATAAGAAAAGAGATGTTGGAACATTCAAAACAAAAGTAGTTAAAGTTTTTTATTTTACATTTAAATTTTTCAATGGGAAAAAAGGCAGTTTTTAAATATCATTCCTTATGAAATGATTTTAGAGTCACTTGTACCTTTATGATTTGATGGAGCATAGCTAAAGTAAACAAAAAGTGAACAATTTTTTGTTTAAATACCTTTGTTTATTACCTTTAATTAGCTTCTCTAGTTAGTGTCCTGTTTAAAGTGAAGCATCTTCACTTTAAATGGGATGCTTAAGCAGATTTCCTGTTTGCTGAGAAGTGATTGTTACAGATGGACGCCTTCTCTCGGCAAACTGTCAGCTGCTGAGGGTGAGCGCTAAGTATCTTGACAGTTCAGTTGTTCAGAGTAAGGAGGAATTTAGGAGAGCAAAGCCGGGATTATGGACGGTTACTGACCCTTTCAAACTGTTTACAGTCATTATCGCCGTGCTCCGATTTTAATGTTTCTCTGTTTATTCAGTTTTATCTTCAGTACAAACAAAACGGAGATAAATCAGGGCTCTAGAGTCCACTGACTGTATAAAACCTTAACAATTTAGCATTCTGCCCTCAACATGTTTGTGCCAGTCTCTAAAAGCACTGAATGCCAGACTCTAATTTGCTCCTCAGATTTTACCCTCTAATGAATATAGCTTATTCTCTGTGGTAATATGCTTATTTGTGTGCTCATTCACTGCCTGTTTAGGCAGGTATCTTCTATTCATCAGCGTTTTCTTTAAAAAAAAAAAAAAAAAAAAAAAAAAAAACTAAAACAAAGACCTTGTGTACACTTAAAATGTTTTCTCTCCTTGTCCCTTTAGTTATGCTAAACTTAGCAGAGCCAGAGCTACAGGGAAATACACCTCTGGCTTTCCTCTCACCCTTTTTTCCCCTCACCCCTGTGTGCTCCCTGACCCGTAATAGCTGTGTGATTTTCCCCCCCGCACCCCAGTACAGCACAGCGGCCCTCAATCAGCCTTTTGTTTCTCTGGACACCGGGTTCATAATTTTCCCAGGCAGAGCAGATAGCTAGCATCAGTTCAAAGCCTCCTCCGGGCCAGCTGCCTCCTCAATCGGTAGCTTTGGGAAACAGGTCCTTATCTCCTTCTCCTCCCCCTCTTGAGAGCAGGGAATGGGATGAGCTTATCTGCTCCACTCCTCTTTCTGCTAAAGTGAGCGGGGCCAGTGGTTTTGCCCGAGCGATGCTCTGACCATGACCCACATCCGCTGAAAAAACACACAGGCAGCGCTTCTCTTGCATGGCCACACACATGCTCACATAAGTTTTAATAGTCATAGTTACACAATCTGGGAATGAAGATGTACTCTGTTCAGTATTTTCTAACTCAATACTTGTATTGGAATATTTTTGTATAGTTTAGCCCATATTTCTACTTATCGTGTTTGCAGACACATGATGTACACATCGCCATATCATGTGACTGATGTCTAATTTCAAAGTCCAACAATGGTTAAAAAAAGAAGAAAAAGAAACTGGTTAAAGAAAGCTGGTCAGTTATTTGAAACACCAATGCCATGAGCTTCTTCAGGGCTTTTCTGTGTTTGTCCAGTTTCCTATTGGGCTGGAAAAATGAAATCCAGGTAAATTTAAATGGTTTTAAGCACCTCATTGCCCAGCACCTCCTGGCACAGCCATATGTAGGCATATCTTGGACCTGATCCTCAGAAGGCTTGAATGTACTGAAACTTGTCAGCTAGCCAAACAGGTTCAATTCATATAATGTGTGTAATCTGACCAGAACTGTGCCTTTATGAATATGCAAATCATATACTCATGATCAAACCAGGCATAATTGCTGGTTGGAGGATATTTAAATGTAAACAGTTATTGCGTCCGTATTAAGTGCATTTGAAAATTCGGTGCAAACTCATATGCTGGAGTTTCTGCAGGTCATTGTAGTTGGAGCTGACAAGGTCGGCACTTTCTGAATAAAATTTAATCTTTCAAATTGAATTGCTTTTAAATTTAAGCAATAATTTAGTGACATTTTTTTTTATTCTTGTTGTCATTATTAACAACACTGCTTAGAATTTCACCTTTAGGTATGGGTCTGATCAATTAAATGTTGTCAACCAATGTTTTATCTTTTGTCACAGACAGTCTTTGTAGATCCCTGGCAAAACATCCACTTATAGCTTGTGGTTTTCTTTACTTTGAAAATTAGCTTCATTGGAATGTGTCCCCAGTTAGCAGCCACACGTCCAGTTGTTCACATTTCTGTTAAAAATGTTTGTTTTTCGGTCCAGAAAGCAATCCTTCATCTCTCTTTAGCCATTTAAAGTGACACCTGCTTATTGTAACTGCTTCCTGCCTCAATGTAACCGTCGCCAGATTGATATGTGTAGAACTGAGTTGAGGTCTACGTTATCAATCTGGGATGGCTGCTATTCAGTCTGTCAGTGAAAATGAGGGATGTTAGTATAATACTTGGAGCTGATTGTGGGATGTTCTATAATATGCTTTTAGTCAATTTCAGTAGCAGCGAATCGTGAGGTTTCAGGCAACTTGGTCGTTCACGAGAGCCACCAACGGAGACACGATGATCACAATAGGATTTTTCTGCTGTTTGTTTTCACAACTCGAGTAAACTGATAAATCAAACTTTTTCTAAATCATTTCGGAAGAAGGAGCAAAACATCTTTCCCATCTATAAATGCACAAAGTGCTTCTCTTTGTTCCTTTTTTAACCGAAAAATTGTTGCTGTTTTAGCTAAAACCGACTCAATTGCGGTATCTACAGGTGATTTCTCCAGCGTAGCCATGTTTGTAATGCCCTGGATAGGACATTCTGATGGTTATCATTCCTACATGCCCCGCCCCAAAAACACTGCTGGCATGTCATTGGTCTGACCCGATGGTTGTTACGAGATGGACATATTAGTGGGTGTCTTTCAAGATGGATTTGTTGTGAGACTGAAAACTGCTAAAATATATCTTGCGACAATAAAGTTTGCAGCACATGGTTAGTCTTAATGGAGTCAAAGACACTTTTTTGCTGTTTTGAAATTACATATCACATAGTAAAAAACTTAAACACTTTAACCAAACCAAACTTAATAAACAAAATCTGGTTTTGATTTAGGCTGCACACTGGAGCACTGGGTAGCATTGCTGCCTTACATTAAGAAGCTCCAGGTTCGATTCCTGGCCGGGGTCTTTCTGCAGGGAGTTTGCATGTTCTCCTTTTGCATGCATGGGTTCTCGCCGGGTACTCCAGCTTCCTCCCACAATCCAAAACATGATTGTTAGATTAATTGGCTTATCGAAATTCTCCTTAGACGTGAGTATGTGCCTGAATTGTTGTTTGTCCTGTTTGTCTTGGTGTTGCCCTGTGATAGACTGGCGACCTCTCCAGGGTGTACCCCGCCTCTCGCCCGTTGAAAGCGACCCCAGCTGGGATAAAGCGTGACGGAAGATGGATGGTTATGATTTATTTGCATTTCATATTTTGAAGGTCTTTAGTTCCTCTTTTTGCCTATAGATCTAAATTGGCATCCACAAACATTGCATTTTGCAAACAGTAAATCATGTCTCCAATACGTATTTTATTATTTTATTTATTTATCTAAATGATTAACCTAATTTTCTTATGGAAATTAAGAGTTTATGCAATATTCTCTATGGTATAGCTGACGGAATGATCCAACCAGCATTGAGTTAACGTCACTCACTGCTCTAAATTATTTGTTTGTTTGCCAAAGTGTAAGATTTTATAGTCTTAGCTGAACGGATTAAATCTTCAAAATTTAAACCATGTTCTTGGACTCGGTTGACCTCGGCGCACATTCCAAACCACATGTGATTACCTCTGAAGTGTTACTTAAGTTGGAGGTGTTGCCATGTCTTAGCAGGAAATTGCTTTTTTACATGTACTTTTTGATTGATTGCAAGTGTTTTCACTCCTTTTAAATTACCTGTTTTGCTCCATTAAGACCCGTAAGTAACAGTCCCCTCATTTGAGTAACACAGAGTTATTCATGTAAATCTGCAGCACATAATGAATAGATGGAGAGGAGTTTTTCTTTTTCAAACTTGGCAACAAATACCAACAGACCTGGCAATATATAGTTGTGTGTTGATAAGTATGATTAATCTACATTAAATAATAAGAACAAACAGGAGAGGAGAGTTACAAAAATAAGACAGAAGCAGACACATAATAATTTAATCTTTTTTCTGAGTAGCAGGCATTGCACTAATCCTAAAATACACACAATAATGCCACATGCTTCTTCAAATGTCAGATACTCACCTTCTTGCACAACTCTAAGTTTTTTTTTTCTTTAGCGCTCGGTCAAGCAGTCCATCTTTGTTCAGAACAGAACAAGTGGGAGAAATCTTCAGAAAGAATGCGGGGGAACATCTGTCAACATTAACCTGCTTCCTATCAACCATCTCCAGCTTCTGCACTCGCTCAGACTCTCAAGCACACTTCGATTGTCATGTGGATATTATGCAAACAGAGATGGAGTAAATGAACCCTTTTCTTCTTGTTGCAGAAGCCTGAAGGGACACTTGTACCCAGATGGTTTACTGCCAGTAGTCTTCTATATGTATATTTATTCAGTTTTGGTGTGTTTGAGGAGAATTGCCAAGGCAGTATTGGAAAGAGGTGCTTAAAATAGCAAAGACATTTTTTCCATAAATATTGGCTCTTCTAATGCATTTCTTCCTTATACTATGCAGTTAACAAGCACCAGTAAACAGATTTCAGCACATATAGTTTATTTCAGACGTTTCCATACGTGCCTTATGAGAGTTTTTTTCCTGTATACTTGATGGACATTTTTCCTAACATGTCAAGGGATGTCAACAGCTGACCCTTTTTTCTTAATCATTCTCTTTGCTCATGAGGACTCTTTGAATAAGAAAGGCTTGAAGTTCATTTAGGCTGTTTTTTAATGTGTCTGTGCTATATGCACCCCTGTCGAGTCTTAGCCTAATTTTTGGCAATGCAAACGAGGGTTTAAACCAACTGAGGAAAAGGCTTTATGTTCAGAAAACTTTCAGTACAAAATTATACAGAATTGCCTTGGTTTTTTAGAGTAATATTATGTGGTATTTAGAGTGGGAATGACACATGGAGTCTGCAGATATATTAGCAATATTTGAACCTTACCCATTCTCTGGTATAGCAATAGTACTACAAATATATTTCTTTGGGAATAGTTGCATCAACATTAAGTTGTCCGAAACTGACTGGTGTAAAAACAATGAAAACTGTATTTTTGCTTCCTTCACTAAAATCTGAAAAGTGTTTATGGCCTGTTTACCGTGGATATCCCTAAAAAGCATTCAGTGCCAACAGCTTCTTTCAGAGTGGACTGAATTGGTAAATTAAGTCCATTTGCATCCGATTTGTTGTCAATAAAACTGCTGCTTGTGATTCAAGCAAAGGTCGTAGTGTTTTTTTTGCTTTTTTTAAAATGCAACTGCTCAGAAAAGGTTGTACAGGTTAGATAAATAATATTTTCGAACAACCAGCATCATGAAGACCAAGGAATCCAGTGGATAGGTCAGAGATGGAGTTGTAGAAATGTTTAAATAAGGGTTAGGTTATAAAAACGCACCAAAAACTCATTCTACTGCCTGAAAAAATTAAACTAACAGCGGCCAAGTAGCCCAAGTATCTATCAAAGAAGAAGTCAACAGGCCTGTTGTGACTCTAGTAAACATGCATAGGTCCTTATCTCTGGAACCTACTGTATTTTATACCATCTAGTCATGCAATGCTGGCCTTATTCAATTATTCAATTATCAGATTAAGTTTTTCCAAAGGTTAGGGGGGAAAGTGTCTGCAGTCTGTCACAGGTTACATCAAGGTGATAACAGTCATAGGTAGAAGATTTTGGCCTGGTTACAGGAGATGTTTATATAACTTCAATGATGGTGTAACCCAAGGTAAAGTCAGCCTTTTTGTGCATCACTAGTACTTCCTAGTATGTATCATCTACATGCTTAGTTTTAGGCAACGGCATCCTGATGTGCAGAGGCTCCTCCTTAGCAAGGAAATTTATTTTTTGCATAAAATTTGCCACAATCATGGCTGAGAATAATGTAAAATTTGAATTACTTAAAATAGCATTAATGAAAACCTTTATTAATTGTATTCAAAATTACAGACCGTTGGATTAGGTTCCAAGTTTTAAAAACTGGGAGTTACAAGATGAAAGAGAATCTTTGCAAGGTTTAAAAATGGCCGCTCCCGCATCCAGTCTGACAAAACTTGAGATATTTTTCAAAGAAAACAATATAAATGTATCTTTAAAAAATAACTGTAATCACAGAGAAAGTTGGGTTTACAAATATTGACTTGTGGGGTGCTGACACTTTATTATACTTTTTACAAGTCATGCTTTTTAGATGCGTATTTGAACATTTGGAATGGATGCATTTTTCTTCCTCTTTAATAATTAAAGGTTATTTTATGTTGACCCACTGGAATTCTGATACCATCCAATAGTTTCACGTTGAAAAATACCAAAAAAAGTTCAATACTTTTTCAAACTAATATCTAAAAATAACCTTTCTTTAAAAACATGACCCCAATTTGGCTTTAAAATTTGACATGTTCTTTTTTTTTTTTCTGAAAACAGAGAAAATGACTCCCTTCCTCTTGTTAGTCTGTTGGTGCCACTCTGCATGCAGATATAACAGATTGTTGTTTTTTAATTGTTAGTTCACATGTTTGTGATCCCAGGCTGCCATTGTTGAGTAATGTCCAATTAAGGCCCAGAGCGAGGCAGGTAATCTGGCCGGGCTTTGAGTGGGGGAGCAGGGTGTTTAAGTGGAGGCTCGGGCTAGGTGATGATTTGGGTTGATTATCTCTGCTAATTGGACCAGCCATGTAGCGGAGCAGCCGATGAAGCCTGCAGTCTCACCTCTCATTAAAATGATCTAATGATTAGCTTCCAGCTCTCCTGACCAAAGGAGCGGGTAGCCGTGTCGGTCGCTAGTTAGCGGGCTGTCCCCGAGGACATGCACCCAAGAACAGCCTGTACTGGTGTTGCACTGCGGACGTGGAGGAGTAGTCTGGTTTAAAAAAAAAAAAAAAATGGTCCAACAATATGTTGCTGTCAAGTTTTTTTGTTTTGTTTTTTTTGTGTGTTTCAAAGAATATGATACCAATTATAAAAAAGCCCCAATCAGGGTTCAAAGGTTGATCGCACTAATTATTACCAGTAAAAAAAATAAAAAAGGGTATTTGATTGTACAGTTAGAGACATTACCTGTTTTTTGTATTTCCTAACAATCAATGAAATAATAAACATTCCTGCTCAAGGTTCAAAATATACAACTTTTAAAAGATATGTATTTTTAAAGAATTTTATTTTAAAGAATTTTTTGTGGTTGCTATTATTAATTTTCCCAGGGAAAGCATTAGTCTGTAAAAGGGAAACTTCTCTGGGATTCCTTGGATCATTTCATTAAAATAGCAGGATTTTCATTTTTTTTATAACTTTTGAGAATTCTTAAAACATTGTATTTTCTTTTAAAACTCAAGCTTTGACGTGTTATGCTGCGGCTGTCACACTAGTAACGCTGTAAACCTCTTATAGTGTGGCAAAAGATTCTTTTTAATGGTCCGAAATCCTCCAAAAAAGCCTTTGATGTGTTTGTTACTGTTATGACTTTATTATGCTGTTTTCTTCTTATAATCTTTCTTCCCTTTTTGGGATTTTATCATACTGATACGTAGATGGCCAACTCTATAACCTTTTTATCTAACGATGCACTCTGTGTATTTATTTCACTAGGTGATTTTTGTTTATTGTTGTTTATTTGTTGATACTTGAGCTTAATGTGCTTTTTGTCACTAAGCTAATGAAACCTTCAGCTGTCTTGGCCGTTAAAGGCTTATTTATGACAGGGAGTTTAGTGGGCTTTGTGTTACAAAGGGAGGAAATGAAACTTCCTCATGTCTCAGACAGTGTGCAGAATTTAGTCTGCAGCTCTAATCCCTCATCTGCTCCGTATTAACAAATCCCTATTACCTGCAAACCCACCTAATCTCTGGCTGTAGTTTCCGTCAGGTAGGATTAATAACACCCCTCTGAGGGTGAAGTGTTTGAATCCGTCTGCTCTCCCCCTCCCCCTCTTCCACTTCTTTTAATAAGCATGTTGTAATTTATGGTTGCAGTTCATCGACGGACGGCTGGCCAAATTAAACGCAGGCCGCGGCTTCACTGACGTGTTTGAAGAAGAGATCACAGAGGGGGGCTTCTGTGGAAGTGAGTAGTGCCAGACTTGTCTGTCAGTGAGATTAACTGTATTAGTTTCTCACAATCATTGCAGCTCATAGATGCTGTTGTGGTGTTGCTCATGCGAAAAACGGCACAAACAGGGTGGAAAACGGTGGAAAAGAGACCAAGAGTTATTTTTAACACTTTAACCGAAGGGGAAAAAAAGAATTAAACCTAATAAAGCTGACATGGTCCTATTCTGAAGCTTAAGGAAACTATTATTGAGCTGCAAACATCACAAAATAAGTGATGATTTTTTAAGAATGTTTTTAAATTGCTCCTACTCAAAAATCTTAGTTACATTTAGTTAGAAAATTAAAGTACAACTGAGCAGTGATTAAATTGGCTAAAAACAATCTAAGTTTGTCCCATTTTAAATTCTCAGCTTCCGTTGAGAAGCTCTCATGAATATTTATATTTTTTGGGAAAGAGGCAAATCTGAAGCATCGACCTAAGTTTACTTTCAAACTGATGCTGGTCTTGATTGTCCTTTAGTCCCATTAATTTAAGTCATATGGAGTTGATGGTTTGGCCAAAGAAAAATTTCCCCATCTCCTCTTGAAATCCGTCTCAAGTAGAAACTCAATAAGCTGATTTATTTATATGTTGTAGGCAGGTTGTTTGTAAAGACAGTCATCGTATGTGTGCACATGTCTAATAATTTTTAGCCTTTAAAGTGTTTATTGATTTCATACCCTATTATCAAAATAAATTTACATCTCAATGCATTTATTTACTCTCAAAACCATTATTTGTTTTTTCTAATTAAGGCCTAAAATTTAAATATAACATAACCTAGACAAAACACAAAGAGATGCAATTATGTATATTTATTTCTCTCCATTTTGATAGCCATACTGTAGCATGAAACGCAAACAAAAGCTACCAAGAAAGTAATTATACACATCATAAAACCCCAAAACAAAATGTTTTAACTGAGAAATCTCAGCCAAGTGAAATGTTTGCTTATGTGCTTTAGAGTATATGCACTGTGTGCTGGATTTGGGCTGGAAAAGAATGTGTCTTTGACTCAGCAGCTATCCCACACACTGATCGTGCATCCAGCGACAGTGGAGAGGAAAAACTTTGAGCAGAAAGGGCATACACACAAAAGAAACATTTAAGCAGATGAGTTCTGAGCCATTTTTCAGTTCAGAGGATGAAAGTAAACGCTGAGCCCTTAGTTATGTCTAGAAGAGAAACGGGACTTAGCACTGAAAAATTGTTCCACTCTATCATCTATAAATGGAGTTGAGATCTGCATCCTAGCTGATGCCTCCATCCAGGATGGTGTCTCAGCTAAAGAAAGTGCCAAGCCAGATAAAGGTTAATATGAAGAGAAAAAGCAGAGAGAAAATTAAGTTAAATATTAAACTAACATACCAAATTGTAGAGTAGTAGGAAAATGTAGTAGAGGTTGTGAACTTGGCCCATATTACTCATTTTGGAGTTTCAATAATCACCATGTTGATCACAAATAAACACTTATATATATCACTGTGCTTACCGTAATAGTTATGGATGAGTTTCACTTTTGGAGTTTAACTAATAAAACTGATGAACTTTTCAGCGATACCGTCTTACTGAGATGCAGCTGTGTTTCTTATCGGCCTTGCGTGTTTATGGTGTATGAAGACATATTGTATGAGTAAATAACCTTTTTTTCCTACAGGGGCAAAATGTAATTTGATGTCAAGCTAAATCAGCATTGTGCAACGTATGGCACAAACGGACATCACTGCTACGAAATATAGATACCCAACCCAATGATAATCCTACCTAATGTCATGCATGCACTGAAGCTTCCCATTGAAGCTACTGTCTCTGCAGGGGGAGTGAGCCCTCCTTGTTAATAAATCCTGCGAATCATTAGACCCCCCTGTGGTCAAATACTACACAGTGCAAAAAAAGGACAAAGCATTAAGTTTAAATTAATTTAGAGATATTTTATCCCCAATTCAATGTCACATAATTTTTAAAAGCCACATTTGAAGTAAGGCTTAAAAAGGCTTGATTATTCTAAAATAATTGTTAAATTAAAGGTTTTAGTTTATCAGTTACCATTAATATCAGTAGCAATCATCAAAAAGCCTCACACCATCATCTGTAATTAGATTTTTGTGTTTTATATTTCTGAGTAAAACTGGAAAAAATACTTAAATCCAAGTTTAGTATTTCATGGCAGGCCTTTAGGAAAAGCAGAGCTTAGTGTGTAAGGTTTTTTCTTTAATGAGTCTAACAACAGTAGGTAGATTTTTTTGGAACAGAATAATAGGCAGAACTTGTTAAATATTAGTTTTAAAAAAATTGCAAATGACAATTGAATAAAAAAATTGTGCTTTATAGGTTGGCACTTCAACCCTTTGAGATTCCAGCTTGAATTTACTATCAAATTGAGAGAAATTTAGAGGGGTTTTTTTTGGTAAATATTTTAGCTTTATAAAGCTACAGTTGTCATCCCTGTACAAAAAGGTAAAAAAAAAATGTTGTAGTGCATGTTTTCAATACTAAACTTAAGTGTGCATTAAAACTGACTACAATTTTGAAGGCTGAGCTAAATGTCACAATGGTTTAGTGATATCATGGATACTTAAAAGTGTGTTTAAATGAATAAAACGTTTTAATGAAACTTCTGTTATGCCTGTCTTAACTTATTGTCTTTTTCTCAGCTTTTTTTTTTGCCACAGTTAAATGCTGTCCTCAGGCGATGATAAATCCTTTGTTAAACTAATAAAATACAATCTAAACCAAGCAAGGCCCAATAGGAGAATATTATTCCCCCCTTTGCTGAATTAAAACAGATTTAAATTTTACCAGCCTTTCATGGGGCTGATCACTGCATGACCTGCATGTTTAAGTGATCATTTAAACAGAACCAGCCAGACAGCATGAAGTAGCCTAAAAGTTAATTAAAACCAACAAATGGTGCCTGAACTAACAGTATTCATGAAGTAAGATGCGGCTAGAAGTGAATGTAAAGCCTTGGTTAACTTGTTAAAAACTGCACATACCAGAATGTAAATTTAATCTGTGTTGCCAGCAGTAGTGTGTGTTTAGTCTCTGTCTCACACACGGCTCCTGAATCAGCTTCAGTGATTGGTTGACGCTCTGCATCCAGCTGAATTTCTTCAGTTTCTGCCGTTCTAGTGGTGCTTAACACGCGTCAAGCCAAACATGAAACACGAAATGAGCCGAAAGCTGCAAAACATGGAGGCGCTTGTCCACCATAGACTTTGCATGTAAACAAAACACATTCCGCCTAAATGCAGCACCATGATGCTTTAAGGACTGCAGTGAATCACAACTGAAGCACTGCAGGCCGCACTTGATTTAGTGGATCAGCGCTTTGTGCTTCTCTCTGAGTCAGTCTCTAACAACCCTGAGATGTGGAAAGTACAGAAATGATGCTGTTGCGCAACTGATGAAAATGTAAAACTTTTCTTTATTCTCAACAAAGCGAGAACAGTCAGACGAGACACATTGGCTCTATAGGATCCTGATGTGTCCTGAAGGCTCAAATAATGTTAACTTTGCTTAGAAAAAAAAAACATGGCTCAACCAAACAAACCAGCATCTGGCGTAACAATCTCTTCTGCATTTCTAGATTCTGTTTCTTGCTCAGGTAAGGGATCTATTAGATCATCACCAAACCCTACTGCAAAATATGAGAAAACAAAAATCAGTTTTCCAACAAAACGCAAACACGTGGTTTAAAAAGAAAAAAATACAGAGGCTTGTCTCATGTTTCTCCAAAAACATCTTGATGATTCCAAAGACTTTACAGAAATAAACATGCAGCTTGATAATTTCAAAGGGGAACATTTTGGACATCCAGCTTCATTTGATGCTAAACTAAGACGGCAATTTAGAGAAAAAAAGAGACTTGTCAAGCATGGAGGTGGTAGTGTCTTGATCTTGGGTGGCTTCTTTAGAAGCTCAGCGGAACCGTGAATTCTGCTCTCTAGCAGAAAGTCCTGTAGGACAAGATCTGGATGTTAGTTCACAACTAAATGCTTGACTAGATTCATTTCTTGCATTGGGGCAATAATCTAAATAAAAAAGCAAGTCCATGTCTACAAAGGCTTAAGAATACATACAAACTGAAGTCCAGGCTTGATAAAGTTGGTCAGGCCTTTGATGCACAATAAAACTTCACAGTGGCTTATTGGCAAGATTATGCTGAAAGAATTGGGCCCAAATCGGACCCATGCCTCGTTATTGCAAACGTTTGATGGAAGTTATAATATTCGTGGAGGAATTACACATAGAGCCAGGTTGGGTTGGAGCCATAACTTAAAAACTGTGTTTTGGATTCCTTATCTTTGGCTGAAGGTCACATTTATTTGATGCTCTTAAATATTTAAATCAGACTAAAACCTGTAAAAATAATAAATGTTTTGGTGGCAAATATATTTCTATGATGCTGAAAGTTATCCAGTTCAATAGTGAGCATCTTTTTAGGTTAAATTTTAAAATCGTTTCAAGTAGTCGCTCGACTTAAGAACTTCCCATAAGCAATGGTGTAAAATGAATTAGCTCATGATGGTTTTACCTGGATATTACTTTACTTTATAGCTCATAATAATTAAATTATAATCCTGAAAACAGCAAGATTCTGAGGACACTGTGATTAATTCATATCTCCTGGTTTTCTCACTTCTCTGCAGGTAATTCAGGGTCTTACCAGCAATGGAAGCACACTGTGAAGGTATTTACACAACGTCCCGTCAAACATCCAGCTTCTCTCACTGGGTTCCCTGTGTCTCATTTTTATTCCTGACTTATATTTAATTGAAGGCCTGATTGACACAGCTCAGTGTTTGAAGTCTGTCTGTTGCTTTTGGAATGAAGGGGTTGCCTGAACGTACAGATCCAGCTGGAGCGCTGTGGGTGTGTGTGTGTAGCGGCGCATGTAGCAGGACACTGGATACAGGCAGGGAGGAAGACAGACGCGATTTGACGTGACAAGACGTCCTTCGACATGACGTGTTGATCTGGCAGCAAACACAGGCGTTACTCCGCTGAACCAGCCCAAGAACATACATCTCTTCCTCCTTCATCTCTTTCGGGCCCTTCCCTCCTATCCTTTCCTTCCCTTCTCTATCTGTCTTTATCCTTCTCCCCCTTTTCATCTCTGTCACCCCTCCCCTCCGATTTCTCCCCCCTCTCCCTCGCCCTCCCTATCTCCCCACGCCGTCAGCTAAGGCTGAATTAGTTCTCTAGAGTGCTCTTCAAAGGTTTGTTAAAGTTCACATTTCCTGACTGACAGGGATCTATAAGAGAGGCCTTCACCTCGGCCCCTCTCCTCCTCTCTTTCTGCCAACTTCTGAAACGTTGTCTGCCATTTACTCTGTTTAGCCGTTTAGTCTGCGTTTTGTGCTTACACTAAAGACCAAACTGAGAAGAAAACAGCATCTCAGAGAGAAACGAAGAAGAAAGGCAAAGAGAGAAACAGATTGGGCACCATAATGTCAGCCTGCCAAACTCAAAGGATGAATTAATCACGTACAGTCACTTCTGCGTACAGTCCTTTCCATCTTTCTTTAAGCCTTCTTTTAAATAAAAGTCGCCTCAATGCTGGGAACTTCTTACTTTAATTTATTGTTAGTTTGGTTTTTGCTTTTTTTTCCCTACACTTAGCGAATTATTATCGAGCAATCAGAAGTTTTCACTGATCTTTAAAATAAGTGGTGATTTAATTGGTAAAATATTGTTTAAAAGGCAACTTGTATTATCAATATACTCTTTTAAACTAGATTCATATAAATAAACAGATTAGTCTTCAACTCAGTCTCATAATGCATCAAAAATCAGTCTACATTATCTTCTTCCAATTGAATGATATCTATCACAAATCAAAGAATGCAGTATAATGCATATTTTTTCAGGATTAAATGTAATGCATGATGAAAGTAAAATTAATGTGAATATTTTTAAAACCATAATTTATCTTTTAAAAAAACACTAAAACAAACATTAAGAAAAAGGATGCCATTAAATTCCACATACTAAACACAGTTTAACCTCTTAAAAGGAAGTTTCAAGGTTGGACATTTTAATTTCAAAATCCCATAATATGTTTAAAGACTAAAATAAAACTTCAGTTGCAATCAGCGAAGCATAATATTTTTTATGTTATCAGAATTGGCTGATATATATCAGCATATTGGTTCAAATTCTGATATAATGCATCCCTAGATTAATATATTTAAGGTGCAGAAAAATAAGCATTCAGATATTCAGAAGTTGGTTTTTTGATCACAATATATTGTATTATTGATGGTTTTGTATCTGATATTTTGCTTCTGACAAAAACTTTCAGATTTGTTTGATTGAAGACACTATAATTAAGTTGTTATATTACAAACAGAAATGTTTGCACAACAGAAATGCTTTTGGTCTATGACTTTTCCACATTCACTGTTAGGCATCTGTTTATGCAGATAGAAAAATATACATATATATAAGTGTTAACATTTACATCACCCCTGAAACCAATCCATGCAGAGTTTGGACAGTTGAGTGCCAAGCTTGGTTCTTACGACAATTTACACATCGCACTAGCATGGTTCATTGTCTCCTATCGGAGGTCCACCATACTACAGCCCTCAAGGCAGGAATTAAACAAACAAAAATGGTGGCGCCCATAACATTCAGGAGCTTATGTGCCAGGATAGCGTCTTCCGCCCAAATTTCAATGAGGGCCTCGGTCTCAGCATCATCCCAGGTCGCTCAACGCTCTTTTGAAGCCATTTATTGTTAATAGGCTGAGAAGAAGTTCATGTGGTGAACAGGTGAAGATATCTGGGAATTGGAAAGCCGGACATGCAGGAAAAACCCGCAAAATGAGTCGGCTTCCTGTAAATAGGAGATGATGCGGTCTGCTCATGCACTCTTTGTTATCCGTAAACTGAGCCATAACTGAACCTTGCCGAGCCGTACTGTTGAACCAGTACTAGATTCAGTTGGGTATTGCATGGTCCAGTTAAGTTGCGCTCCATTTACACTCAACACCTATCTCGGTTACCTTGCACGGACCGTTCTCTGCATGGTTTTAAAAGGTTAGTGTAAATGGGGTACAAGCAACTCAGAGACTGAAACCCTTTTGTGGTTTGTTTCTCTTAAACATGTTTAATTCAAATCCTCTAACAGCACATGTTGCAGAAATAATGTCATAGATGTTTTTAAATATTGTCACATGGTGAAATAAAAAATTTTCAGAGCTTTTAAGGTTTCCACATTTCAGGTCAGCATCATTTAACAGTTTGACTAATTGCAAAACACAACCAGCCCCTATTTACAGTGAAATAATGCTGTAGTTGGAAGGGAAAAAGCAGGTTCTGCATTCATGTATTAAGCTGGTTTGTTCAGGGGAACCAAGGTAGTCCTTTACGTCCTGGTTTATGATGCTTGCTCCAAACTGATAACAGAAGTACTTGTCTTTACACATTTTGACATTAATGAGGACACTGTTATTGCATTTCTGCCAATAGATAGATCTAAATGTCACACCGGGGAACTTTACTGGCTTGTGTAACATTTGAGGTATCCTACATATCGAATCACTGAATTTTTCAGTGTAATTTCTCCTAGAATGCGTTTTTCTAAATGAAGCCATAGGAGATTTTTGGTGTTTAGTAATTATCACTGAAATATGTCACTAGAAAATATATATGGATAGTTAATGTTTTTCTTGGCAATGTGACCTTTTGCATGTTGTTAAAAATGGCTAACGAAGTCTCCTTTATTGGATAAGCTCACCTTGGGTGAATGGGAGCCATCAGAGCTCAGACATTTTCTTCGATACATGCACTAATAGGCACAGGTGCAGGCTTTAGTCACATCGACTCAACTTCAGAAGTTTCTCAAAGGCCATCTTGTTGTGTGTTGGTGCTATAATTTTGGCTGTTAAGGTGTAAAAGTTCTCCTCTGCCTACAGTATTTATTAACCATGTAAAAGTTTTCAACAAAGGCCAAAAAAGAGATTAATGTTTCCCCTCACACTCATGTAGCAGTGTGAAACCTTTGCAGACTCTAGGTTTCCCAATATTGCTCTGTGACTTAAGGTTCTCCTACTTGGAACACAAGCAAACTTAGATCAGTGAGAATGTTTGGAGTTTTGGAATGGGACAAAAAATATTAATGGATATTAGTTATTGCTGTTTTAACATTATGGATTCAAAAGCATCTTTTTGGGATTTAGTTTTGTAATATTTACTCTTTCTTAAAACAGAGTAAATTTTAACTTCTATTTTCATTATACTCCCTCTGTCACCTTCACGATGCACCGTGTGCACATGCAGAAATTCTTTCTGGGGTTGTGTAAATCAATACTTACAGGAAACAGGAATCCCATGGATTATCATGGGCATTATATACAAGTAAATGCATAGTTATTAATTGGTATGATTTTGAAATTTGGATTTGCCTTTTTTTTCTCAACTCAACTTCTGAACTTCTGCATTTCCTTAACCTTGTCAGATTTGAGCTTTCATCCATATTTTAATTGAAGGTCAAACACTTGAGCTTTGCAGGGATGTTGTAGCATAACGTCTCATGATAAACAAACTGAATGTATGTAGCTCTTTACTTTTTACGATACAGCTACAGTACATTCAACCAAACACTCTACTTTGCTGCTTCCTAACAATTATAAAAGGTTTTATGTTTTTATGGGTCTTTGAAGCCCTTTTGCACCTCTGGTTCAGTATCCAAATTATCCATCTTGGTTAAAAGCCTGAGATAAAATGCATACCTAGATTAATATATATAAGGTGCAGAAAGATAAGCATTCAGAAGTTGTTTTTTTGATCGCAAATCTGAGCCGATCAAAGGAAATTAGACATATTGTATTACTGCTGCTTTTCTATCTGATATTTTTCTTCTGATAAAAACTTTCTGATTTGTTTGATAGAAGACACTATAAATAAGTTGACATATTACAAACAGAAATGTTTTTGGTCTATGAATCCACATTCACTGCTAGGTATCCGTTTATGCAGATGACTGTTAAAATATATATATATATATATATATATATATATTAAATCTTTATTATTAAAAACATTATTTGAGATCTATGAAACCTTTATACTTTTTTTTAAATAAAAGTCTAACAAAACTGAGAAAGTTGGAGCATTTCTTTTTTTAGCATTAGAAAAAACTGACAAGAAAAAAATATGCCTAACATAAAGAAACCAGAACTTCACTGGTCACATATTATAAGAAATAAAACAGTTTATAATCCATGAAAGCTTTACTGTTTTGTGTTAACATCACAATACCTTGTATTGTTTTGTTTTTGTTTACACAATATTGCTTATTGTCTCATTTCATGAGCTAGATGTGTCATCACACCCATATTACACACCATCAACTGTGAATAGCTCTATATATACCAAAGTGTGAACATTTTTGTTCTGGGTGGACTTCAAAGTACAGAGCAGAATTTATCAACTGAAAGTTAATTTATTCTTATCAGTTAAGATATTTGGCAAATTTCAAAATAATGGAGTTTCTCCAAGCTTTATGAAGTTTATTATCAAAAGTTGGATGCTTTTTGTTTTTTTCTTGTGGAAAATATGAAAGGGATAAAGGTTATATTAAATCTGCCTGTTAGAGCCGTTACATCCTTTATAGTCTCTGTCTTTGTAAATGTATGGATGCTTACTGTTGTGTGTATCTAGAAACTTAGTCATTTCCTTTATATCATATTATTTATAATATTTTCTTTCTTTTCTATCACAGAGAGGAGGAGCACTTTTGAACACAGCAGTGTCAAAGGTAGATTTTTTTTTTTATTCTATACATTTTTTTTTAAGATCCAGAACCTATAAATGTTTAATGTATCTTAAAATATTTGTAATGGAGCTAAAGAGGAGTGTTCACGGCTGGCTATGGTGTTCTACGCTGTATAATAGGTGGTCAGGGTGCCCTTTCATGTTATCGCTTCCTGTTAGTGTGCGAGGCGCTCTCATCCAGCCTTTTGTCTGTGTGTTTTTGCCACAGGGATCAAAGCATTTCTTGATGTTACAAGAAACCAGAACAGAATGTTAATGCAACATGTTTTGATTAGTAATCCGTCTTTGTGGGTGTGTGTTTCTCTCCCCTCCTAGGCCAAGGTTCACGCCAAGCGGGGCATACAGGACATCAAGGGCCGACTTAAACCAAGGGTGAGCAGGCTTTCACCTTCCCACCTCACCCAAACAGTTTTCAGTTCATGCCAACACACACATGTACACAACTCTGTTCAGAGGCAGGCAGACAGACACATGCCTCCCTCATAGAAACAGACAGGAAGCCTGCTTTACATGGAGTGTGTGATTCTGACGTAGGGGCCTTTTAATGACTGTTGAAGCCTGGTTAACGCTTTGTTCGGGGCTGTACATTTTTAACTAGCGCCCCTCTGGCTATGGCCTGTCATGTCATCCGAAACCCCAGCCCCTCTTTCTCTTTTATTGTCTGCATATTTCATCAGTGAGCCTGTGATTTCCTCAAAGCTAATGTAACGAGGTGTATGTTTCCATAAGCCTGATGGATTTGATAAGGCAATAGCAGTTTGATCTGTCAGTGGGAAGCGAGGGGAGAGGGCACTGATGACGAGCATGAGGCGTGCGCTCCACGTTCTGCACAAACACTTGCGGTGGAGGCAAACAGGTGCAGAAATGTGTTTGATTCTGAACTTAAGCAGATTTTCATGTTCGTTCAGAGGAGAAATTAATTTGCAGTTTCAGAGTCTCTTTAGTTTTTTTTCTAACAGCTCCAGGGATCTGAGAGTCAGATGAACGTGTTCATCGTTAAATATGCTATCATTTTTAACTTTGAAGAAAATTGGTTTAAAGATTAAAATATACTTATAAATATATTGACAATCATAAACTCATTTCCATGTATCATTCCTAATACTTTTCAATGAAATATCAGCAATATTCCAGTAAATTCCATGCAGGCAAACCTTACCATTTATATTCTCTGTATTTAAGTAGGCTTCTTCCTACTAATATCAAGGTGCAAACCTTTAAAGATGCAAATTTCCTCAACTGCTAAAACTTTACTGTCATACTGTTTGTATGATGCTCCTTTTAACAGCAGAAAGTGAGACACTAACCATTTTTTTTCCCTGGAAATTAGCTGCAGCATAGCCCTTAACAGACCTCCTTCTGCACACTGCTGGTCAGCAGGCTGAGGGAAAGCTTCCTCACTCTTTCTGGCTTATGAGAGAAATTTTACTTTTTGAAAACTAAAAAAAAAAAAAAAAAAAAATTCACTGCTCCCCCTGCACCATTTGATGAAGACCACTAGTCAGCCGGCTATAATATAACTAGAAAGCCACTATACATTTTTTACTCTTCCTAACAGTTTAGAAATATTTATAGTTAAAAAAAGCAGAGTCAAATCAGCAGCTTTACAAACCAAAGCAATGAGCCCTTTCTAGTGCGGCACACATAGACCCTGTTTAAGCTTTGCTGATTAATCTTAAAGGATCCTCCAGTGAGAGCGATTTATTCAATTCTATAATGTACAGATTAACACAATACTCCTTCCCAGAGCTATTCCTGCACACTGCTGGTCAGCTGGCCTAAAAAAAAAAAAGGTGCCTAAGCTTTTAGTAAACTTATAAGATGAATAGATTCAAATGCTTTTATATAATAAGTCATACAAGCCCCAGCAGCTGTAAGACTCTATAACCACCACTGTTCTCAACAACCTCAATAAGTTGTTACATTCATGCTGATTTTGCACAGTTTCTATCTTATCTGATGTTGCTGCTATTTTCAATTGGGGTTTTCCATAGCTCTATATTGGCTCTTTATTCTCCAGGTGCACAGTATTTATATTGTTAAAACACTTTACAGTACAGTATTTTATTGTTTATCTTTTAACTCTTTTAACTCTTTACTTAAAATGTAAAGGGGCACCTAAAAATGGCTTCAAAACTTTAACTGGACAAGCTAACAACAGCTGTTACTGTTAGCTGTTTCCAAGGTTATGTTTAATATGTCAGGATAAAAAGGCAACAAGAGATATTAATCTAAGAGATGAGATAACTTTGAAAGATTTGATCTTATTCTAAATTTAGCTTTCAGTCTATGTATTAATGTTAAGATAATGAATTATTAATAGATACAGTATGTCATTATCTTCACTGTAGTTTTTTTATTTGAATGTTTGGGAGTAGAAGGGTTTTTATTGAATCACTTTGGTTATATATAAATCTTTTCTTTGAAATAACTATTTAGATACAGTGAAATCCTTTTGTTTGGCTCATTGTTCTCAAAGATTTTCCTGTCTAGAGACCAACACACCAATTATCTTTAAAATGTTGAACTTTGCCTCATGTAATAAATTTTTTTTAAGGCAAATTATTTTATTTCAGCATATAAATAAAAACCTTTGAGCAGATTGGACCTTTAACTTGCACATAAAGGATAACTTACTGGATCATTTGTCACATTTTTTGCAGCTCAGAAATCCTCACCAGCACAATAAAGATTTATATTCCTCTTCTCTCCCTTTCTCAGGAAGACGAAGAAGACGGCATGGCAGTCCGTCCGGGGTCTCCCACCAGCACCAAGAGCCTGTCTCCAAGGAGACTGCAGAAGATGAGACGGGTACGACACACGCGCACACCCATGTATGTCCCACTGTTCTAATGGGGACATTCCATTTGAATTCATTTGTATGGCCTAACCCAGACCCTCACCCTAAACCTGGCATTCCCAACATATTCCTAAACCTAAACTAAATTCACATCTTAGCCACCAGCACAAGAAGAGAGCCTTTCCTCATGGAGAAACTGATCTCCATGAGGAAAGGGTAGCATATTCCTGATAGCCTTACACTGTCCTCACAAAGTTACAAATACAGTAGGATCAGTGATCCCACCAGCATTATTCTCCCTTGACCAACATGGATTCAGTCTTTTGCTTTTATACATGTACTCTTTCCTGTCCACTTTCTCCTCTCCTTGCAATTTTTCATGTTTTTGTAGCTCCAGATCTTTTTTTTTTTTTCTTTCTATCACCATGCTGTATCTCCCCCACCCCCCTCCTCACGCTCTCTGTTGGAAGTACAGCAGTTTGTCAGGGTTCCAAATGTAATCATAAGCATTTTTTCTTCCCTTTCAACACGCTTGTTGTTGTTCACTCAGTATTTTTCTCTGAGCAGCACGGACAGTCGTAGCAACTCATCTGCTGGTCAGCATTTTCTCTGAAGAATTTGCTTGTGCTCCATAAATGGATTGCAAAAATTTTGTCTTTGTTGTATGCAGAGCTGGCGCTTGATGTGCAAAATACACATTCATCACTAAATATACAAGGAAGGATAACATGTTTTCTAGTTTATTGTAAGGAGCTAATAACGCAGTTGAATATTTAAATGTGTTTAAGTTTTATAGGCTAAGAAGTTTCTATATAAACTCTTGCAATGTGCTGGAAAGTATTCATACTCCTTAAGCCTTTCCTCAAATGAAGAGACTTCACATAATGGAGACCAATGCAATTGACTGAATACATTTATTTATTTCTTTTTTTATATATATTGCAAGATTCTATCAAAGTAATATTTGAAAGGTTAGCAGGTATTTCATTTATTACTACCGAGTTATGTTGTTAACACACTTTGGTACAATTATATTTTAATCTAACTGTAATCTACTCTTTGGTGGGAAGGTGTACCTCTAAAGGTTTTGTCATTCTTCCTTGCAGATTGGCTTTGCTCAGTCATATTGGTCACTTTGCATCTTTAAACATCACTTTTTAAGGCTTACCACAAATTCCTAATTTGATTTAAGTCTTGATTTTAAACCAGTAGTGTCTCCAGTGCTCAAATAACCATCTGCTCCTACATAGCTTACTTGATTAATGGAATGTAGTGATGTCTTCCATCTGAAAGGTGAACCTCCAAGTCTCCTCGCCAAGTATTCTCATGTCGGTTTTCTTCCGCTCATGTTGTTTGTAAATCACAAAGATCAGTTTGTGTCTTATCCTGAGAGAAAACCTTTTCCACATGTACCTGGTAGGCGGCAAACTGTGATAACAGCAACATTATTTCCACATAATCCATAAGGATCAGAGAAGTGGAGTTAGTATTGTAGTTGTCCTACTAACAATTTATCCCACCTGAGCTTTGGGTTCTCTGCACCTCACTCAAAGTTATTTCGGGCATTTTGTCTTCTCACCTGAAAAAAACTCACATTTTCAGCCCCATAGGTCTTTAGTTAAGAGATGTATTGATGCTAATGTTACATAACACACAGGTAAAACTCCATTAAGGGTACCAAGAATCAGAGGACCTGAATACAAATGTACACCATGCTTTTCAATAAAAGAAAAAAAAAATCTTAATAATAACAAATAACATGGTGTCAGAGACTTTTTCAGCTGTCTCATTTTTACTCAACTATTTATGGTTATCGGAATAAAATAGCTATAACTGCAATTTATGCTTGTCAAATGCAGAATATTTAGACAAACTTACAATTATTTATCATATATGCTCTCCTATCTCTTCAAATCCCCCTATAATACATACAAGTCTAGTTCTAACCAGAGTAAGGCACTGTTTGTCAACTTCTACCTCATCTCTACACCTCTATAGTGCAAGCAGAGGATTTTCCCCATCTTATTTTTAAACCTGTAAATTGTAAGTGGACTCCTGCATGCACACGCTGACATTTTGGTCGCAGCCATGTACGGGTGTGATTAGGAGAGCTTGTGCTGGGTCTAATTAGTGTTGTGTTTCCTGTGTGTGTGATGAGGCTGGAAAGTCTTGGTGTGGGGAAGGTGTGACGGCCGGGGGAAAGGAGAAGAACGGCAATTAGGGATTTTCTAAAGGCCCCCCCCCCCCCCCCCCCCACCATTCCCCCTCAGCCAGGGAGCATACAAAGACGGGCCGCCGCGCACAAGGATTGACTGTTAACACACGCGCAACACGCTAGGCCTGGATATACACCCACAGCCGTGTCCGTGCCGCTGAGGCCTGCTTATTGCCACAGTAACAGGTCCCTGGAGACCACTGGAGGAGGGACGGTCAGAACACAGGATGGCATGTCCCACAGCGTGGCTTTTGTGTGTCTGTTTACATGCAGTCAATCACTTTCTGGTTAATCATCCACGCCGCCCATCACATGCTTTTCTTGCTTCCTCACTAATTTTGTCAGGTTTTACGAAACTCAAAAATGTGGAAAAATAAACATTTTAAAAAGTCATAACGAGAGACATGTAGATTTAGAATAATGGCTATGGATTTAGAAACTAGGATGACCTTGATTATTTATGGTTTAGTAAAAACGTGCATTTGATTTGCTTTCTCTCTTAACTTTTTATTTTTTTTCATAGGTTTAAGACACATTTACAGTACTAAAAAAAACAAAATCATTTGGCAGCTGTAAGATTAGATAAAGATGCTCTCCACTTTTTTGTTTGCTAAAGTCTTCCTTTCTATTTTGACCTGTTTATCAAACCACATACCGGTATTTATATTTCTGTTGGTGGAAACAGCTATAGTTCCAGCTCTATTTGTGTTTTTCCCCTTTTATCTGTCTTTTCCTCCTCTATGAGGCTGTCTTCTATACGTTGTTGATACCAATGTTCGTTCTTCCCACATCCATTCGACCAGGTGTTCTCTCCACGAGAAATTGATCTCATGAGAGTAACACGGTTAAATAAAGGTTAAGTGAAATTACCTGCAAACATCTCCCACTCAGCCTGCCCACACACAGACTCCCTTTTTGTTTCATCAACCTTTATTCTTTGCCCCTCTTTTCGGGTCAGATTTCTGTCCATGCCATCTGTGAATATTACACTGACCGTCTTTGATTGCCAAGTCCAAAAATAATGTTTATTATAGCTTTGATTTACTTTTTTGTGTGGGAACATGTTAGAGGTTAGTAAAACTTCAAAGAGAAAACAACTTAAAGCTTCAAAAAGTCGTCATTTTGTTCTTATTAATGTTAATTGTTAATGGAAATTTATAAAAGAAAAAAATTCTAGTTTATACATAAAAGCTTTGTAATACACACTACAAAGCTTTTAATGTTTCTCAAATATGCCTGTGTGGTACCTAAACAGAGTTAAAAAAAAAAAGTTCTGTTTGTAAAGGTTCACAGCATAATGATAGAAACCAAAACCTTCCCTGTGTTTCATTTAGATTTAATCGGAGAATCAAAACAAAGTTGTTCAAAATTGTGAAATTATTTGAAATGTATTTTTTATTTTTTTTTTAAAGTCTAAAAAATAGGCTGAGCAAATATATATCCGCCCCCTGGTATCAGTGCTTTATAGAACCGTCTTTTTCTCCAATCACAGCTGTTACTCTCCAGGGTCATGTCTCTAAAAGCTTTGCACTTGTAGAAATGAACACTTCGGTCCTTCCCTCTTGACAAAATGACTCCAGATACTGTAAGTCAGAATCAGTGGAGATAACCAGCTTTTATGAGGCATTACAGTTTTAAAAGGCATCACCACACCATGATGCTGCCCCTACACGTTTCATCCTGGCATTTGTGTTAGCAAAAAATAAATAAATAAACAAAGCTTTGTCATTTGGCTGGTTCTCTACAGACCAGTTCAGGATTTCTTGAAATACTGTAATCATTTCCTGACTGGCCAGATTTTTATGCTGCACAATCAGTGAGGGAGTTAACAGATTCTCCCACCTGATCTGTAGGTTTTTTCATCCCCCTTCCACCTGTTGGCTGCTTCTCTGATGCAGGATGTCTGATGCCACTTTCTTCCTGTTTGTTCTCCATGTTCTCCAAAGCCTTCACATTGCAGCAAAGTTGTCTTCTGTTTACTCTGATACCCCCAAATAAAATATTCTGCTCTTAGCTACCCTCAGAAGGCATCTAATTAGGCCAGGCACACGTACAAGTCTGAATTTTGTTGAAGATTTTTTCTTTCTAAAACAAAAATTATTTTGGTATATTTCTCCTATATTTTACTCTTACTTGCCTGTGATGGTCTATTGCATTACATGCTGATAAATGTTGAAAAAGGTAGACATGTATAAATAGGACTATCTTGACAATTTATACATAGTTTTTACTAAAATGCGTTTAGCTTACAGCTCGGTTATTTCAGGGGCTGTTTGTGATCAGAAACTTGCAATTAACTAAAAGTGTTCGACCTCTGTGTGGGGAAAAAAGATTCCTGCTGGATTTTTTTCATTCTCATATTTTAAACCAACGTTTCTGTTGGTTAATCAGAGGACAACAATCTGAAGTATGAGATTCCTGTTCTGTAGGTTCAGCTAACTAATGTGTGTTAGAGTGGAGATGCTGCTGTTGCATGTGTTCAGATTTCAGCTGCATCCGGTCATGTTGATGATTTGTAGAGTTTGGTGAAGAATGTGGGCATGAATACCTTAGTTTGACGCAAGAGAGAGTAAATTAGACGGCTGACTTTATTTGTTTGTTTGTTTATTTATTTATTTGTTTGTTGATGGTGGATCCTTTAGCCCTGGATTGTGTTTAAAATATATTTTACTCAGTGTGGAGTGTCTTTTTTTTGTGCTTTTGTGATGTCAATAGAAAGTATGTCTGCACCAGAGCCCTTTAATCCAAAGACTACATTGTGCCTGAGTGCTCAGTGTGCACAAACAGGCATGCATT